GAGGTAAAAAACGCAAGCTAAAGAGAAAAAATAAATGCACTAGAATTGGAGAGGGGGAAAATCATACCAATTTGATTTTTTTTCCTTTTACTTCTCCATGTAATTTTATGGTAACCTATGTAGACAGCTGCCTTAAGTGAGTATGTGTTTAAATTTCTGAATATGTCACACGTATTGAGAATATGTGAAGGAAGAAAACCCTCCAAAAAACTTTCAGCCTCATCTGAGATCATGAATGCTAATGAAATATAAATGTCAAATTGCACAATTAAAAGTAGTGTAGTTTTCCAGTATTAATACTATTTTTTTAGTAATCCTGAACTTCCCTAAGCATACCCATTTCAAGTAAACTGATGAAACCCAGCTGACTGACCCAAAGTGTCCTATTTTACCATTCTTTCTTCGGAATCCTTTGTATAAAATTATCACCATTTGTTGCCTAGCACTACTTGGGTAATACTCTTTGACACTCAGGCCACTGATTAGCTGTCTTTGGGTTTGTAGAGAGAGTGGGGAAATGCAATTTCTGACCCTGCAAAGGCCTATGCACCTGACATCTCAGTACTCTGCAAGGAAGCTCTGCTGACATCAGCTGAGCCGTTCTCAACATGCTGAGTTACATGCAGTTTCAAATACTTGCAGTCTCAGGAGCAATCAGGAGAGGAAATTGTTGGTGCCTTATGTCTCTAAAATCCTAAATAAAACTTAGAACAATCACTCTCTGTTTTGGAAGGCAGGATCTCCAGGGCACTGGATCCAATTTTGCTTGCAAGGCTTGCTTTTAGTTGTCCATTTCATGTAAGGTATATTTTCAGTTAAATCCCTCTTGAATAATAAGTGCAGTTAAGTGTTTTCCTCAGTCCTCAGCCCCGGGCTGCCCTGACTTCACAGTGCAGCAGGATGACACAGCTAAAACCTCCAGAACCTGCACCTGCCTATCCATCTATGCTCAGGTGTGAACTCTTGCAATGTAATTTGGATTGCTCTAACTTCACCTGGGATAGCTTGCTTAAGAAAGAGTGAGAGAGTACCTACTTTTTTAGATTGTGATTTCTGGAGTGATGAATGAAAATCTCCAGAAAAACTGTAAAACACATGATCTCTTCTGTGAACTACTATCATCCGTTATGCTATAAGCAGGAACTCAGGTCTCCACTTCTGTAAAAAATTACTTCAGCATAGCAATCTGTCTATAGCAGATTTACCATCCATTTTTCAAAATGCAGTATGGAGTGTTGTACTTCAAACCTCTAAAATGTCAGAATCTGTAGTTTAAAGCTGCCCTTGGAAATATACAAGGTTTGAGGTTGCAAATCATCTCTGTAGGTTAAAAAAAAATACTTGTGGGGTAACTTTTAGGTCACCAGATTCTGCACACATGAACGAAGAGAAAATGTTTAGCAACAGATAAAGGGAGAGCTGCTGCTTAAATAAAGTGGTCATTCTTTGAAGTATCTGATACTTGTCCTTAATGTTTCAATATGATGAGATTGCTTCTCCAGTATTTACTTTGCACACACATGAACTGATGCCAAATTCTGTGATGACTTGATCAAGTGACCTTGCACACAGAAGATTGTTTTTAAATGGATATTCCCTCTGCTACATAGTAGAAGGAATAAGAAGTTTTTCAATTGGCAGTCTAGTAAATTTCAGGTTTCAAATGTCACATGGGTCTCCATTTCTATTCTTCTGGATTTATTGCTTTAACTGAAAGTTTTTTAAGACTGTTTGCTACAGTAGCAGTAGGCAACAATAATTTAATGTAAAAGCTTAGTGTGCTATGTTACTTTGTCATGTGATTGCACAGTCTAACAAACAATAACTCTTTGGTTTTTCTAACCCTAAAGTTTCTGAGATCTCCACCATCTGTTAAATTGTGAGTATCGCACAATACTTTGGTAAACAATAACATATGTGTGTTACTGGCTTTGAACATAATACAGAGTCAGACTGTACTATCTGGAAGGTAAAATTAATTTATTCTTCCAGATTAACCAAAATACTCAGACTGGAGTACCTTCCATAGTTTGAATGAGTGTAAGAGGTCAGAAACCAAGCAAGTCCATTTTACAATGCAATGAAGCAAAAAAGCAGGAAGATCCTAAAGATCTGCCTGAAGAGGAGACCAAACTCGATGAAGCCCAGAGGTGCATGTCAAAAGACAACTTTTCTGCTGTCTTCAGGGGGATGATTCAGGACTTGTAGAGAGCTGCTCTGCTCTGAAGCCAGAACGGAGAAAGGTCAACCTCCTTTCTTTCTCCTTTCCTGCTTTCAGTGAGAGTGAAGAAAAAAGGTAGTTTTGCTCTGAGGCATGGATTTGCTTTGATTCATCCTAAAGACTTAAATTCTGTGTTGCAATGTTCTTCATGCAACTATATTACTTTGTTTCTCTAATGAAATGGAGACTGAAAACTTTTTTTGTGTTGATGTTCTTGCTTCAAAGAAAATTTGAAGTAGGTCCATCTCCAGGTGTTGGGCTCGTGACAAAAAACTTTTTGTACAATGTCTTGGCAAAAGATGTCTGTTTTCCCCAATAGGTACCATTGGTATTGCCAAATATATTAAACTCATAAACACATATCAAAGAAATTACATTGTTGTTAATTGTGGATGCCATGGCTCAACATTTATAAAAAGAATTCCTGCAATTTTACAATTACACAAGGCAAAAAAAATAGGGAAAAAGCTTTCTTTATGTTTATGAAGTAAAATAGGAGATTTGCAACTAAAAATCAGGTATTACAAAACACCAGAAATTGCTGCATCAATGATGAAATTACCAATTATTTGAAGGAAAGATGTAAGAAAACACTAACCATTATGAAAAACAGATAACTATATCCTCTGAATTCTAATGCTTATTCTCAAGGCTGGCAGCAGTTTGTACCAGCTGTTACCTGAGGTTTTTAGTAGAGTGCTCATGTAAGTCTATATACACTTGCATGGAGAAATGAAGATTCTGAATCCTATCCTTCATGTTTCTAGGTAAAAAGGGGACCTGGGTATAGTGCTCAAGAGTATAAACTAGCAAAAAAGATTCTTGTTTTCCAGAACCTTCTAGTTTGCAATGAAAGTGCTACCATGATGTTTAATTTCAGTTGGATAAATATATTCTCATATATATGGTGTTTGTGCTTTGGATAGTAACACTCATGGGAGATACATGTTTTGGTATAGGAGATGTCAATAGAGAAAGATTAGACTAATAATAAGCTGTAGATAGTTTAAGCCATAAGGGACTTTTGAAAGATGTTAGAATTATTAAACTGAAATCTGTACCACAAAAACCTGGTCTGAATCCAAAGGGAACTACTTTTATTGACTTTTATAAATGCTAGAGCAGACTGGTTTCGAGCAAATAATTTTTCCACAGCACTTGTTGTCTTTGTTAGTGAAAATGGGAAAAAAATTAAATAACTTATTTTCACTATTACTTTCAAAATAAAACAGATTGGATTATTATCTCAGAATAAAAAAAAACACCAAAAAAACAACAACAACAACAAAAAACCCTTCACCAAAAAAATACATCAGCAAAAAGCTAGTTGAGATTAATAAAAATTATGAAAAAAAGTTCTGCAAATACTAATTTAAAATGAACTCAATGAAAAGTTTATTTTCTAAAGAGAAATAAAACAAAAGAAAATAAACCCTAAGGAAGCCTCTTGGGCTGACTTGGAAAAGTTCATCTTTTCCTTGGTTTTTCTTTTTTTTCAATAAGCTCAAACAAAAATTTCCAAACACAAGTCAGCATATCATGTTTAAGCAGTCAGCATATCAGGTTCCAGAGTTATGGGAGACTATAAGCTGTACAGCTTGCAGCTGGGACAAGGTAATTTTTACACATAGATGTGTAATTTAGATAGTATCTTTAAGCTGTTCATTATTTTTTTACTCTCAAACTGTTGTACCCAAGTGTAAGAAGACTCTGGTAGCTCCAGTCATCAGTGCTTATAATATTATCACTACCCAAAAGCGTCCTCTAAAATACAGTCATCCTATGGTCTTGTCACAAAAGCTGCTGAAAAGCACAAAACCTCAATAAATCAGATTTGTTAATCATATAATGTAATTGAGAGAATTCCCACAGCTTCTGGGAATGCCAACAAGTACTTATCATCTTTGATTATGAATTCAAACGTTTCCATACTATTAGTTAATTATGTAAACTCAGAGAAGATGCACTAAGCTATCATGTTTTTTGAAGTTGTTTACAGGTGCCGTCCGCACCAGTCTTTGCTGACCTTGTTAAACCATCAAAATGCCAAAAAACATTGGTATTATTTGAGGATTAACTCAAATTTAGTAATTTGTCTTACACATTCTTATAAATGCTGAATCAAAGTTTGAGCTCTATGTAGAATGTCCCATTAAGTGCACTGAAATTGTGAGCTGTATGTATCCCAAAGTGTTTTCCATTTAAAGTCCTAAAAACTATGCAATTCCTACATAAATAACTGTTTGTACTCATAATTTCAGGAATTCTGGGGCAGAATTCTCTAACATTACACCTCACCATCCTGTACTGGTGCTAATGTAATCTACATTCCAGAATATCTTCAGGAAGTCATTTGCCAATTTTCAGTTTCCTTGTTCAATTAGTAGACACTGAACATTTGAAAACCATCAGCTTCTGAAAAATAAGAACACAACCCCAAACCCATCAATGGAAAAAACAAACCCCAGAATGTATTAATTATACTGAAATTTTCAAATACAAAAAGACAAATATTGTAGCTTACCTGTGAAGTTAATCCTTTATTTTATAGAATAGAGATGAAATTTAACTGAATTGCATGAAATATTGCTGTTAGACTGTAATTCCAGAAGTCAAAAAGATGGAAGATTTTTGTTCGCACAAAATTCTTTAACATATTTTTCTTTTTTCCAAAATTTAATTTCAGTGGTGATCTCTGAGTCAGAATTCACAGCTAGAATTATTATAGCAATACCACATCATGGCATAGGAAAAAATATTTATTACCAGTCCTGATCTGTTCTGCCAAAAAATCCTGCCAAGGAAATTCAGTTGTGAAAATTTATGGAGTGGAATGGTCTCTTTTTCTCTTGATGACACTAATTCTTCTTATTCTGGGTCATGACTTGCATTTATAAGTTTAGTTTTAGTAATGACATGAGAATTTAATGTAGATAAGTGGTCCTTATACTTGATCAATACAACACCATTGGATAAATCACCATCTGATTTATCCAAACTGCTGTATATCCAGGAATAAGACAGAATAAAAGATATCTCAAACTGTAGAGTCAGAAGTGGGGATGCCCAGCATTAGTCTCCAGGTGTCCACAAATAAAGACAAGATTTTTTATAATTCTAAGAAGTCAGTGGAGATAAATATTTGTTGTGTGTTTCTTTCAGAACTGATTGGAATCACATAGAAAAAATACTGGTAATTACTTCAAGTTACCTGAACAAAGAGGAAAACGTATCCTGTGCCTAAATGAGAAATCCTAGTTTATATTCTACAATAAATGTTCTCACACTCTGCGACCCCACTACAATAATAAGCTCCAAATAATTTCTATATGTGTTTTTTTCTGTTACCACTGAAGCTAAAGGTTATATTATTTCCTATTTCTTGCACTTTGTATTTCATGCCTGACCCATGGCAAAAGACGAAAACATCTAAAATGAGATAAAGTACAACCAAATTATGTATAGTCTTCTGCAATTAAATGACTCAGCCATCCAGGAGGCAAATTTCTGCCCAGGCACTCTCCAGACATATGCAAAGAGAAAGGCACAAGGTTAAAGAACCAAAGATGAGTATACAGCTCCTGTAATAAATTTTGTAAATTTTCGAGGGGTTTATGCTTTACTGAATTGGTCAAAACAATTTGTGTGCTACTCCATCTCTCTCAAACTGAAAGAAAAATAAAGGATATCCAACTTTACCACACAATAGGTTTATTAAAATTTTGTTTGAAGATGAGAAATGTCATAGCGTTTGCACTTCAGGCTGGAAAATTCTTTGAACTCATTCTCTGCGCTTGGCAGGTTTTCAAAATCACAATCACCTGAAACATAGAAATAACCTGTCAACAAAAGGCATCTGAAAGGTTGGAGAGTGCTCTGAGCTATAATTCCAGAATAGTGAGAGGCCAGATGTTTTCCTCTCTGATATTATCTGAAGCAATGTGTCAGACACCTGAGGCCAGAGGGCACCAAGGCAGATATCACCTCATGCAGTTGGGAGAAGTGTGTGGAGGGCACTCTGGAAAGCAGGTGGAAAAGGATGCTATCTAAAGGTGAAGTCCTGTGCCTCTTGCAGCTGCTCCAAGCACAGGGATTTCTGTCATGCACGGCTGACTTCTTCTGACCACCACCCATTGTGGGGCTGATCATAAAGACTCTTCACATCTAAACAGGAAAAAGAAGAGGCATTTTATTAAGATTGTACACCAAACAGTTTTAAAAAATACGTATGCAGACATGTATACATATATATATATATATATTTATAATTAAAGAGAGCTATGCAATAATAAATTATTGAAAGAGTGTGTGTCAAATGATGTGCAAATGAAGGTAATTTGGTAGATGAACTGTGCCTGTGAATTTCACTAGATGGACATTTTTTCCAGCCTGTACTCTGGTACATTTTCTGTGAGACACAAAATATGGACTTCAATTAAATGTTGTTAAATTATAATTACTCTTCTTATTACATTTTTACCATTGACAAAAGTGAAGTGCTTTAATTAGCATTTTTAATTGTTTCATTTCACTCTACTTTATAGATTCAGTCTTACTTTATAGGTTTTCTTCTCGAAAAAATAAAGCTTATAAAAAGAAATTATTGGAATTATCTCTTCTCTGTGTCATATACTTTAATAAAATAATAAAAGAAACTGGCTATTTGTGCTGAAGTAACCATATTATAAAAGTAAAGAAGTAGGTGAGAGACTTTAATAGAATATTTTCTCTAATGAATGTAAAGAAGAATCTAAAAAATGAAAATAATCTTCATTTCTGCTATTTCCTAAATACATAACTATACAGAGCAACAACATAACATCCTGAAAATGCAACAACATATCTGGAAAACAGAGTGTGAGCATCAGAATACAGAGTTTAGTTATTACCCTGAAGAGTGAAAAATTAAAGGACATGTCAGAATGATAGCACTGCTCTAAACAAACTGTTTGTTTTAATGGGGAATCAAATTGCTTCTTCTTTGGAAAACTTTTGAGATCTGAAGTGTATTGTATAGGTATAAATTTAGTAAAAGCATAATTTAGCCATTGAATAGCAGCCATAAAAATATTTTTGTGGAAATAATTTGCATTTTCTCATGTAAGAATCCTAAACATATTTGTTTGTGTTTGGGACTATTTTTTGTTTTGACAAACTCAACCCCATAAAATCATGAAGAAACAAACATACTGTCATGGGTTGACTTTACCTTTAAGGTGGTTGTGAGAGCTAAGGAAGTTGAAGTTGCTGGGGTCTGAATGGAGTCTCTTCTCCTGACCAATTATTAGTCATTACTGGGGATTGACAACAATTTTAACCATTGAAAAGGGAGATCAACTTGTGAACCCTACCTTAAGATGTAAAGTCAGGACACTTTGGGTCTCTGTTTCCTGGCTGTGAAAGGTAACAGAGCTCCAGGCCTCCCATGCAGCCGGGCAGGGGCTGGGCTGGGCCCAGCGGCTCCCAGCCGGGAGATGGGGCCTGTGGGGCTTGCCTCGGGCTCTGGCCAGGCCAGGCCGGTCCCTGGCTCGGCTGCAGGTTTTGCTGTGACTGAATTCACCAGAGACTGCCGAGTAAAGAAAGAAAGAGGCACTGAACCTGCGGCGTGCTAAAGCAGCAACTACACTTTCCAGAACAGCCATGAGGAATCTTCCATCGCAGACAGCTCCAGCTGCTGCTCCGGCAGAGATCCCTGAACCATCTACAAAGCCTGGGCAAGATTTTAACCTTTTCATTACCCAAATGAGACTTGCAGATTAATCTTTTTATCCAGAGAGGGAAAAAGAGAGTGATCAACATGTAAAGAGACTTTATAAACTACCAGTGACAGAAAAGAAGCTTCAGAAAATGTAGAGAATAAGGAGATGCTTTAATTAAGATGAAATATTTTTCTGTTAAAGCTATGGAGATGGACAGTAGTGTACTGAAAGAACCCCTTTAATTCATGATACAGTATATAGGGAGGAATGGAGTGTTCAAAGTGTAGATTTTGAGTAAAAAGTAGAGTAATTGTGATACAGTGAAGTGCTGGAAGATTTGAAGCCTTGAGAGGCAATGAGAAAACTGTTTTCTAGTGAAGCTCACAGAGACAGATGAAGAAGACTTTTGCTTTTGAATAACACATCCTTAAAATGCTATCTCTAGACTCATGGCACATACACACCTCAGAGTGATGTGAAATGGGAGGAGTGAGCTCTGATAACAGCAGCTCTGGGCAGCTAACATCAGGGCAATAGAAAACTATAACAGAAGTAGTTTTCTTGTGAGAAACTCCATAAATTAACAGAAAGAGACTTCTGTTTCTCTACAAAGACTGGTGAAAAACTGTAGCAGGAATTTGGACTGTTTTAACCGTCAAAGTTCCAAAGTTTTTGTCTCTGTTGTCATGTGAACAAGGGAATAGTGGGTTGATAGGTGATGGAAAAGCTTTTTCTGAAAGTTTATTCTGGTGTTCTTATTTAGTTTGTTAATAAACTTTCTTTATTCCTTTAAAGTTTTATGCCTGTTTTGCTCTTGTTCTAATCCATATATCACAGCAAGAAATAAGTAATTTTTTTACTTATTAGTTTAAAACCATGACACATACCAAAACATGTTTCTTGCTATGCTAGTGGCATAGGTACTATAAACAAGTAATACTGTACAGAAAGATCTGCATGTGATACATGTGTCCAATTCTGGGCTTCTCAGTACAAGAGAGACATGGACCAAGTCCAGACATGGATATGATGATGATTAGGGGACGGGAGCACCTCACTTATGAGGAAAGTGTGGGGGCACTGACCATGTTTATCCTGCAGAAAGGGACACCTGAGAGGCAACCTTATGACTCTAGATAACTAATGAGAGGGTATCAAGAGGATGGATCAGGCTTTTCTCAGTGATGCCAAGTGATAAGACAAGAGGCAGTGGGCAGAAACCGATGCACAGAAAGTTCCACCTGAGTATGAGGAAGAACTTTACAGTGTCGGTGGCTGAGCACTGGAACAAGTTTCCCAGAGAGGCTGCAAAATCTCCCTCACTGAAGATGTTCACAAACCATCTGGACACAATCTCTACTCATGTTCTCTAAAATAGTCAGCTTGAGCAGGAAGGCTGGACTAAGTGGCCTCCAGTAGTCTCTTGTAACTTTCACCATTCTTTAATTCTGATTTAAACACTTGATTGTGTGAGCTAGTGTGCTGGCTCTTTGTGCTGGATTACCTCAGTTTTACAGGCATATATAAGTTTGTAGTGTGTATTACCACTTGTATAGAAGTTGATTTCATATAAGTGGAACTCCAAGTTCTGGAAAACTGTCTCTTTAATTCTTCATACCTAATTCTGTAGTAAAAAGTCGGAATACTTATGTTTTCAAGTTTCTTGGTTTGGAAAGAGAAATTCCTCAGACAACTTGTTTCAAGAAATAACTCAATATGTAAATAAAGCTAAGATATTCAATTTCATTCATGAGTGGACTCATAAATCTTTTATGAATGATGTGTCTGTGTACTGTACCAAAACTTGATCGCTCTTAGAGTTTGTTATTAAACAAAGCCCTTAGAAAATAATAGTTTATAACTTTACATTGTATTTGTGAAGTTATATACAAAATACATATTTTATACTGTAATGGGTTGACCCTGGCTAGATGTTAGACACCCACCAAAGCCCCTATCTCATTGTCCTCCCCAGCTGGACAAGGAAGGGAAATACAAGAAATGTTTCATGAGTTGAGATAAGGATGGAGAAAGATCACTCACCAAATATCACCATAGAGAGAACAGAAAATTAGAGATTTTAATTGAATTCATTACTAACAAAGTCAGAGTAGGATAATGAGAGCTAAAAACAGACCTTGCAAACAGTTTCATTCCACCTTCCCAGTTCTACCTCCTCCCCCAGCAG